GTAAAAAATTTTTTTTATTTTGAAAGTAACCAAAAACTTTAAGAAACGAGAAGGAAATCAAAGCAAAGCAAAAAAAACCAATTAACTAATGTAATGAACAAAGAAGACCGTGTTCTTCTGTTAAAGGCGATAAGGTTTAAAAGGTCGACCGAAAACAGATGATGTATATTTTTCGATGACGACGACGACGACGACGACGACGACGACGCTTATCTCTGCATGTAAAACCGAAGAAACACGGCAACAACAACAGCACCTAACAGCCAGTATCAAACTAAACGATGACAAGTCCTCCAACACAGATACCGGGGGCCAAATGCCCATCTGATGATCATTGGAAATCATTAATCTAACTGACCGGTCAAGCCAAAATTGAGCAGTAGTAATGAATAAGATGAAATCAAATTAGAGCACAACCGAGACAGAAAACAAGGTATTCTTTGCGAAGTTCACTCAAGAGTATTTTACTTGAATAAGATAACTGTTAAAAAAAAGTATAAAGTAAGTTGTGAGAATTCTGAATTTGGTAAACAAACTATGAAGACACGTTTACAAAAATTTAGTCAATCTGTCATTCAGTCATTTGTTTCATTCATATAGGTTTGGTAAAAAATTCAAAAAAAAAGCCCAATTTTTTCTCATCATTCTAAATGCTATTTAAAAAAATCAAAGTTTAAAATCAAACAGAAAGCCCACTATATTTCAGCAGTTCTCAACTGCAACATAGTTTTCCATTTGTGCCTAAAGAATGATCTCTTTTTTTTTCTTTTTATTTTGACAGCTTTTTTTGGAACATCTAAAAAAAAATGAAATGTTAAAAGATATATTAATTTTTTTTTGAAGGCTATGACAAAATTATTAATATTAGCCGTAAATAAAAAAACTTTCAAACAGCTGAAAGTCAACTGATTTCAGCTGATATTACAGTTGTTGAGGATTGCCTACTGCAATTCCGTCGTTACTCCTATCCGTTATTTTTCTTCTTAAATAGTCTTAAAAAGAACCGGAGCTGCCCTGTGCTAAAG